TGTTAAATACTGCTGCCATTGGTTACCTGCCTTTCCACAAATCTTCCTTCAATGGTAGTATATATTAGAAAGCCAGTCTGGAGAGGATCTGGAGAGGTTTTTGTTTCTGCACCCCACATGTGGTGAATTGCTCAGGAGGTAGTAAATTGTTTGACAAAGCATTTCTATCGTATTCTTCCCAGGAGCAGAGCAGTCATTTGCCTGCAAATGCTGTTAATACATCATTTTTATCCTCCTCCTAAGGGGCACATAGTAACCACTTTATTTTCAGGTCCTGCTAATGCAGAGGGATATGATAAGGAGGAAAAGGTTTAGAGTGCTTATGATGAGGAGGAGGAGTGTCGGGATGCTGTCAGAGAGGAAAAAGACAATTTAAATGGTAATTTTAGGCTTACATTTAGTAGAGACAAAGATCACCCAACCACTAAAATGTCATGAAAACTTTAAAACTGATCTCTAACCGTGATTTTTATTGCATAGTTACATTGGTTAAGCATGATATGCAAAATGCATATCTCATACTTGAGAGATCGCTGTGAAAGCTGCAAAATAACTGTAGTAGTTGGCACTACTACAATGATAGTGGCTTCCCTTTATAATAGTAACCACAGGGAGTTGCTCATTCAGCACTGCCACCATTCACAGAACACCTTGTATTATTATTTTTCATGAACAGGACATTCTCTGATTAGACAAGGTGGAGTGGCAGGGCAGTGATATCACAATCTCCACCTCATCCTATCATAGAACCCCTTTTATTTAACAAGTGCACCCTGCTTGTCAGTAATGATTTCTAGTGGTAGTTGCCACCTTATTAAAAGCCACCCTTTCCAGGTAGCGATTACAAATTTAGTGCTCATGACTCCTGCTATAGTCACCTCTGGCCATTTGGAGTACACATCATAAACAATATATTTGATGTTTCAGTGCAACTATATATATCTTATTGAATTTCATTCCATTGGCAATATAGCAGCTGTTTTCTTTTGATTTTTGCCACTGACTAAGCACGGTTCAAAACTGTAAGCTAAATCTTCTTTGGTTGACTATACCAAGCCACCACAGTGCTTCTCTGAAAAGTTGACTTGTCTGCACCCCACCTAAATGACCTTCAGGGCCATGTTTATAACAGATTGCTTTGGTGCAGCTGGAATTCCTGCTTTGTGTGGTTGTAACACGCAAACACTTTTTTCAGTTCTCACTTGGTAGCATGGCTAATGATGTCTGGTGTGGCAGATGGCCATTCACCATACAAATAGCTCGATAATTCTTGTACTGTGGTGTAACCCTGAAGACTGGTGAATTGGGTATCACCTTCTTCTTCCTTCTCCTTTGGTTTGAAGACAACACAGGACAAATCTGCCACCTAGTGAATGTCAAAGTTGTTCTGAAACATGTCTGACTATCTATGTAAACGATGAGGCCAGTGGCCAGACTCTGATGGTGACAGCAAGGTTAGGGGCTTGGTGATCAGTTCCCAGAGTAAAATTCTACAGTAAAGAAAGCAATGCCACCGATTACATGCCCATATACCCAGTGCCTTATGTTCTCCTGCAGAATATTTTTGCTCAGTTGGAAAAGGTCTTGAGAAGCAAAAGCAACAGGATGCTCCTCTCCCTAGTGATTTTGTAATAAAATGCACTTAAAGTACAAATAGAGGCATCCCAAGAGACAAATGTTGGTGCATTGTTGCAAAATGGGCAAGTGTTAGTACAGATGCTATATACTATGTCCACTGCCATTTTGCATTTTAAGTAAGGCACACAAAGATGTTTTGATTTCAGCATAGTCAACATAGTTTGCTAGAAACCTTAAATATTCATTTGTGAATCCTCGAAAATAAGCAAGCTCTGGTTTATCTTTTGGCTCAGGTAATTCATGTATATCATCAATATTGGATCAGTGATAGATTGTAAAGTTTGCATATTCAGTGTTGGGAATGTATGGCCTGCAAAGTCAACCTCATGTAAAAACACATTTTTCTTCATTTAGGGTGAGATTGTATGCCATCAATTTGTGAAAAAATTGACTAAGGATACCATTGCACTCATCCAGAGAGGATGCATGGATGGGGATATCATCCAAGTAAATTGTTACACTAGGTATTCCAGCAAACGCAGTGACCATTATTTTTTGGAAACAGCTCGGAGCTGAGCACAGTCTTAAAGGCATGCAATTAAAGTGGAAATGTCCCGGACGTGTAATGAAAGCTGTTAGGTTTCTGGCCTGCAATGCAAGTGGGATTTGTAAATAGCCTTTACAGAGGTTGAGTGTTATTGTAGCCCGTTATGGTAGTCAGTGTCTTCTGGAGTGGGTAATGATGAAAATGGGCACTGCCAGTTGCTGTATTATAAGTTAGAGCCTTTGTTTCTGTGTCTAAAAGCAGCAAAAGTTTGATATTAGCAATTACACAGTGACAGAGTTTAAAATGTGTTTCTTCCCTTCTGATTAACTAAAAAACTGTGCTTGGTGATAAAACTGTTGGGCACAGCAGCACACAATAACAATAACACACCCAGATACCAAATGTGATACTAGACTGGCAACTAATAATGTTGTGTCTTTAAATCATTAAATTCTGCAACATGTGCAAACACTACAAATGCACAAACATGAAAATAAATAAAAATTCATCATCAATAAATAATTAACATAAATCATAAATGTAATGTTAAACCAAATAAAAAATTATGCACTTAAATCATCCAATTCTGCAAAATGTGCAAACACTGCAAAAGTGAAAATAAATAACAATTCATTGCAATCATTGCATTAATTGCATTCATCATAAATCATAAAAATTCATAGTATGTGCCTTTAAATTAAGTTCATAAGTGATGTGCAAACACCCCAAATGTGCAATACATGCTAAATACATAAGTACAGTGCTCAGCATAAATGAGTACACCCCAACAGATTTGACATAAAACCTTTACTTTCCTTTCAGAATCAACATTTTCTATGGGACTCTATACTACAAAATACTCCCACAAATGCGGGCCATTGATTGCAAACAAGATTTGTTAAAATAAATACCTGTAATAAATTTGCACGCTCAAAAAAATATTTTTCCTAACAAATTAATTCAAGACCATGTTGCAAAAATGAATACACCTCAATGAAAGTGTTAGGAGCAAAGCTAAATTTTAGACAAAAAACTCCTACTCAAAGTGAAGTTCCACCTGGAAAAAAAAAGTCAGCAGCTACAGAAACTGTAGCTGCTGACTTTTAAAATACAGACACTTACCTGTCCCTCGGTCCAGTGGTGTCCCTCACCACCGCTGGTTTCACCATCCGTATTCTCTCGCTGGCGCTGGCATCTTCAGTGTGGGCACTTGTGGCTTCACAGCTGGGTGCCCACTGCGAATGCGCGAGAATGGCCCTGTAGTCTTCTGGGACCAGGCACGTGTCCCAGAAGACTACAGAGAAGGAGGGGGGAGGACAACTTCTGCTTCCGATCGCCTAGGAGATCGCAGCGGAAGTGGGAGCAAGTACCCGTAAATTCGGATACCCACTCCCCTCCCCCCCGGCTCCCCAAATGTGCCAATCCCTAATGGGGAGCGGGGGACAAAGGCTTAAAGCGGAACTTCCCCTTTTGGGTGGAGCTCTGCTTTAACAAAAATTCAACTACAGGAGACTAATTATTCATTAACCTCCTCGGCGGTATGATTATTTCAGATTTTTGGTGCTGAAAGCGGTACCATTTTTTTGCATGGAAATATGTAATTTTTTTATTGTAGGCCTGTAATTTTTAGGAATAACTCACTGAAATCTGTCCAAACAAGAGTCTAGTAAACATTCCGGATATGATAAAACTTGAAACACGAAATCATAAATTATAATTTAATAAATACTCATAAAAAATAATAATATAATAAATTTAATTCAATAATATAATCAAACCAAAAACACTGACATTTGAAATATAGCGCCAAGTTCGCACATCACTGAGCAAAGTCGCAGAGTCGTTTTCAGTGTCTGATGATGAACTTCCCCACGAATCATTATCACTCAATTCTGCAAGTAGTTCTGATTTACTATCGCTGTTCTCTAGCTGGTCTAAAACCAATTTTGACGTAAAGGGACGCTTTCTGGACGCCATGGACTTTTCTACGTTTCCAGGCAGAAAGAATAGTCAAAATGCAGGCAGGGCACAGGACAAAGCACTAGGGACAAAATGTATGTGAAATGGTTTGATACAGTAATGTTTTACTATGTAATAATCGTTTTTAAAAAAATGTCATTTTTTAAAATTTGCAAATTTGCCGCCCGTACCTCCCAACGTCACAGGGACCAGAACGAGGAAGCCGGATGCCGGAATCAGCCGGAGGAGATGGCCGGGGACACTGCAGGGGACGCATCGTGGGAGCAAAGGACAAGGTAAGAACTGCAGGGAATCCCTGAGCAACGCCGCATGGTAAGCCCAAGTGTAGCTCGGGGTTACCGCTTTTGGTACTGATACTCTACCCCGAGCTACACTCGGGAATACCACTAGGGAGTTTAAACAGGCATCCAGCAGACAGTTGATTATAAAAGGGCGTTACTTAACAAAGAAAACCCCTCCCCATTTCATGCTGTCAGAAATGGCACCAGATGGAAGAGAAATGTCACAAGGCCTGAGAAAAAAAATTATTTCTATACACAAGAAAGGTGAAGGCTACAAAAAAATCAGCAAATCTTTACTTATCAGTCAGAATACTGTAGCAAAAGTGATACAAACATTTAACAAAGATGGAACTGCAACCATCTCATAGACACATCCAAGATGTTCACAGAAGTTAACACCTCGACAGGAGTGTCTTCTGATGAGAAGGGTTGAAGAAAATTGCCATACGAGTTCACTGCAGTTAGCGAAAGAAGTAGAAAGCCAAACTGGGGTGATTGTTTCCCGTGACACAATACAGCGTACACTGCAGAGGAATGGCATGCATGGGTGTCATGCACAAAGGAAGCCTCTCCTAAAGCCCATGCACAAAAAAACCTGCCTAGAATTTGCCACAGCCCATGGTGAAAAAGAAGACTACTGGGACTCTGTACTCTATAGTGATGAGACCAAGATACATGTTTTTGGAACTTATGGCTTCAAAACTGTATGGCGTCCCAAAGGTAAAGAGTACAAAGAAAAATGCATGGTGCCTTCAGTGAAACATGGTGGTGGCAGTGTCCTTCTGTGGGGCTGCATGAGCTGCTGGTGTAGGGGAGTGGAATTTCATTGATGGTATCGTGAATTCACAGGTGTACTGCTCTATAATGAAAGAGAAGATGCTACCATCACTCCATGCCCTTGGTCTTTGTGCACTTTTCCAACATGACAATGATCCAAAACACACATCTAAGGCCACTGTTGTATTTCTGAAGAACAGGGTGAAAGTGATTCAGTGGCCAAGTATGTCTCCTGATCTAAACCCAATCAAACACCTATGGGGAATTCTGAAGAGACAAGTTGAGCTTCACTCTTCGTCCACTATCCAGGCTCTAAAAGAGGTCGTTCTTGATGAATGGAAAATGATAGATGTTGCAATATGTCGCCAACTTGTTCATTCCATGCCTAGAACACTTGCTGCTGTCCTTACAAATCACGGAGGTCATACAAAATACTAGATGGAGTAGTTTTTGTTGTGGGGTGTATTCATTTTTGCATCAACTAATTTGAGTAAAACTGAAGATTTTGTAATGTAAGTTAACTTATTAACTTTGCTTTCATGTAATGAGCTAAACAAATGTTCTATAAAACTCAGTTTTGTAAAAATTTTGGAAATTGTTCTTGTGTTCATTGAGATATTGATTAAAATCTTAGTTTTCAAAAGGGGTGTACTCATTTATTCTGAGCACTGTAGATAAAATACAAATTAGACTCTGTCAACAAGTTGACACACTCCTCTGTGGCTTCTTGTGAGTCCTCCACTACACAGAAACACCAGCCTCTTACCAAAGTAATAGACCCCAAATTATAGGAGGACCTCATTCAGAAAAGGCTTTTGCTCTGTGCCCAGGTCCTTTTGAATTTTTGGTAAGTTTTTTTGCCTCCTGTTTTACTTTTGAGTTATTGTTTTTCACAGTTTTGTCAGTCTTTTTTGTTTTCTTTTGTGTTTTATTCTACACGTTTTTATTATATTTCATCTATATTTTTCTTGTGTGGATATTTCCCCCTTTCGCACACTTGTGTTTTTTTGGAGCCACCATTTCATTTTTTATGTGGTGATATACCTGCTCCTATGAATATTTTGGCATTGACACTGAGTGGCTTCCTTCAGTACAATAGTTCCTTATATAAGGTACAGGTTGTTTTTTTTTTAATCTAATGTCTGTCTCTGCCATGGTTGGACACTCCTGAGGTGACCTTTGCATTCCAGAGGTCTTGAGCTTCTGAAGAAAATGCCCCCTCTGGACATCTATTGATCTGGTATATTGTGGTCCAGTAAGTAGATGGTCATGATCTTTGCATATATTAAATGATCTTTCCAATATGTTATGTACTCTTTGTATGACTTATTTGTTTATGTTGTAGATTTTATCAGTGTGATGCATCCCCCCCACCAAGTGAAGATTCGTATCAAGAACTGAAACAAGTCAGGGTTTATACATGCATTATTCATGTCTATGTGTTACAAAATGGTTGTGATTTCTGACCTGGGAACCTCTCTGCTATCGTGTACTATATGTACAGTGTTTTTAATAAATTATAATACATTTTGCTAGTTTAGGTTTTTTTTGTTGTTCTTTGTAATGTGCCTTAAAAATTCAGTTTCTTTGCTACTGTATTTAATTATTTATGATGGATTGTTATTTATTTGCATGTTTACACATTTGTGGTGTGTGCACATGTTGTAGAATTTGATGATTTAAAGCCATAGTACAGCATTTAGGCTCCATGCACACTGGGCGTTTTAATAACAGCGTTAGTTGTGTAAATTCACTTTAAAAAACACAAGTTTTTCAGCATTTTTTAGTGTTTTTGCATTAGCATATAGCCACCTTTTGCAGCGTTTTTTTCCGTGTTTGTTAAAAAAATGTTTTGCTCAAAAAAAGTCCAAAAATGCCGGGTTGCCGCGTTTTGCCACATTTTACTGCGTTTTCAGCATTAGAGCGTTCTTTCAGCTAAAAAACCCCTCTAGAAACCCACTAGTTCTGGGGATTTTTTCAGCCAAAAAACGCCCCTGCCAAAAAATGCTGATTACAGCCTATGTGTGCATGGACACATAGGATAACATGATGGGGAGTTTACTAGCTGTAGAAAAAAGCGCCAAAAGCCAAAAACAGCAGCTGTAAAAATGCCAGTGTGCATGAGGACTATTAGTTATCAATCCTTTCTGATTGCATAAACCTGCACGTCATCAGGCTCCTGATCAGTCTGATCTAACTTATGAACAGATGTACTTGGGTTGGAACAACAACATTCAGCAAAGTTGTTCAGTTTGTTACAGTGAATGCAACATTTGTCTTGTGCAGGCACAGCTTCGTTCCTCCATTATAGCAGTTTCCTTTCCAATAATTACAATATGTTTTTGTTGTGCTGTCAGTCACTTTTTGTACTTGAATGGGAGCTTCATTACCTTTTGTGGGGCACAGCATATTACTAGCCTCCTGCACAGCCATTTGCATCTGGCACCCCAAATCCACAGCTCTTTGCAAAGTAGGTGTATCTAGTTTTATAAGTAGTTTCTCCGTATGTCTTGGGTTTGTTGACTTTTCAATCCATTGGTTCCTTATCATTTTATCATGTACAGGTCCAAATCTGCAGAGTGCTGTCTCGGTGGATAGATAAAACATACAGTACCAACCTGCCACTGAGTGCAGTGTTTGCAAGTTGATTTACTCACCCATAGTTGTTTGTAGCTTAATGGAATTTTGTATATAACAAATGCTGTATTTATAACAGGTAGGGCTCTTTCTTAAATTGGGTAAATTCTAAGCCACTGTAATTATCTGAATAATAAATATCTGGTCCTGGTTCAGACAATAAGGATGATGCTCTTTTGAGAAGTTGAAATATTATTGATTTAGAGCATATTGACAACAATCCAATTACCGCCTGCTCAAGGCAATTAAAAGGCAAAAATGCTAGAGGGCACAAGAAAGGTAATACCAAATGGGAATAAAGAGTACATCTGGCTACAGAGTTAATGAAACCTATGCTGGTGTTGATAGTTTTAACTCAATTATTTGTAAAGTAACTTACGGTAATTGATTGACACCATTGCCTTTAGACAGATATATTATAATTAAACATTTACCAGCCATATTTGATAAGAGCAACAGGCAGTGATTTTGCATTCACACTGATATTACATTGTAGTCAATGACAATCCAGTTATTTTATTTTGAAAATGAATTCTTGTTTGCCATAGGTTACTGCCACCTGCCTTACTTAATGAAGGGTTGCCAACCATCCGTAAATGTATGGATAGTGCATACATTTTAACCCATTACGGACTGTCTGTAAATGTCCATTAGAGACAGCAGCCGTTGTGAAAAAATATGGCTGTAGGCTGAGTTTAGAGCTGCACATGCGCAGTTCCATAGCCAGCTAGGCTCGGGCAAGATCGAGCATTTTAGTCTGTTCTTGGGTGAGCGGGTGCATGTGCACTTCAAAACCAGCCAGGCTCAGGCAACTTTGGCGATTTTCATCTGTATTCGGGCAACCTCTTCTCTCCTGCACACTGCCCAGGGTTACTCAGCTGCTCTGTGTTGTCCCTTCCTTCTTTCTGTTCAGCACTGCCTTGCTGTGTTTACCCTCTCCTCAGTTTACCATTTAACTAGCACAGCTCTCTATATATCACAGGCACACTCACATGGAAAGAGAACCCCAAAACTGGACCAAGAGTATGTCCTCCCTGATCCTTTCCTCTCCACCTGGCAAACCAATATAGAACCACAGAACTGACTCCTGCACCACTCTGCACCCCAGTGCTGTCTCCTCACCCTGAAATCCTGCACCCCTCTACTGACTTCCTAGTCCTCCCTGCAGCTTCTAATGATCTCCTTTATCCTCTCCACAGCCTCTAACCATCTCCTGTATACTCTCTGCAGCCTCTAACCATATCCTGTCTCCTCTCGGCAGCTTCTAACCATCGCCTTTATCCTCTCCTCAGCCTCTAACCATCTCCTGTATCCTATCAGCAGCCTCTAGCCATCTCCAGTATTATGTCCACAGCCTCTAACCATCTCCTGTACAATGTCCACAGCCTCTAACCATCTCCTGTACAATGTCCACAGCCTCTAACCATCTCCTGTACAATGTCCACAGCCTCTAACCATCTCTTGTATTATGTCCACAATCTCTGACCATCTTCTGTATTATGTCTACACCCTCTAGCTATCTCCTGTATCATGTCCACAATCTGTGACCATCTCCTGTACCATGTCCACAATCTCTAACCATCTCTTGTATCATGTCCTCAATCTCTAACCATCTCTTGTATCATGTCCTCAATCTCTAACCATCTCTTGTATCAAGTCCACAATCTCTAACCATCTCCTGTATCAAGTCCACAATCTCTAACCATCTCTATATCATGTCCACATTCTCTAACCATCTCTTGTATCATGTCCACAATCTCTAACCATCTCCTGTACCATGTCCACAATCTCTAACCATCTCCTTTATCATGTCCACAATCTCTAACCATCTCCTTTATCAAGTCCACAATCTCTAACCATCTCTATATCATGTCCACAATCTCTAACCATCTCTTGTATCATGTCCACAATCTCTAACCATCTCCTGTACCATGTCCACAATCTCTAACCATCTCCTTTATCATGTCCACAATCTCTAACCATCTCCTTTATCATGTCCACATTCTGTATCTCCTGTATCATGTCCACAGTCTGACCATCTCCTACATCATGTCCACAGTCTGAGCACAGAGAAGACCATCTGAGAGAGCCCTGCATGGTACACTTGAGAGGAGGTCAGTGACAGCGCAGCAAGGCCAGTCTGGGTAGGAGGGGGTCACTGATGTAAGGGGGAGTGAATACAGTAAGGTAAGGGGGGGGGGGGCATGAATATAAAAGTTCCCCCTTATATCAGTAGCTCCCCCTTACCTTAGTGTATTTACTCTGCTGACGGTGATCTGTGATCGCCAGAGTCCCCCACACATCAGTAAGCCCCCTAAATCAGTGTCCTCAGCGTTACGCTTTACATCAGAGTTTGCAGGACTTCACCTTACAGTGCAAGTAACTCTGCGGACCCTGATGTAAAGGGCAATATTGCAGACCCTGATGTAAGTGGGAACTCTTATGTAAAGGGAAACGCTGTGGACTCTGATGTAATGGGCTCTGGTGACCAGAGACCATCTTTTAACAGCGTTTACTTTTAAATCAAAGTCTGAAGCATTGCAACTTATATCATGA